TTAAATGTTCGTTGTTGTGGGTTTTTCGGGCTCTTTGGCCATGTTCGTTTCAGTAATCAGTCTTGCAATGTTATATTTCATACATATGGAAAACAACGTTTTTAAAAAGGCTTTTAAAAACATTGCCTCCCTTTTCATGTAATTTCCAATGGCTTTGCTGATTAACATTAATTATTGCATTTAGATATGCTGTGTGTACCAGACAGAGCTCTGGATGCTTTTCGTAAAGTCATTTACAGATTACTCTCTGTTTTTAAAAGAATAGTTTATTGCTGTCACATAGCATTTGAAAAGTAATATGTTTTTTAAATAAAGCTAAAATAGAAATACAAAACTAGCCCAAAGTGCCCCTTAGAGTACTTTGAAAATCAGTGTATTGCAATCATTTCTTGTTACACTAAAAAAAGTAATGATGTTATGAGTCATGACATTATGTTTGAAAAAATTATTTTGTTAATGCCCTTGTCTCCAAAGGAAATGTGTTACAGGTAATGAATGGCGTGACTACTTCCAGTCATTACTCACTACTCACTACAGTACTTCCATACTCTAATACTAAATGTCCTATAGCTCTTATGGACTGCAATCCTAAATATGCTTTGTAGTGAGACTTGCATCTAAATAGTTATGCTTCCACTGTAACATGCTTGCACTGTAACACTGTATAACTAAAATCCTGTTGGAATTGTGGAGTATCAGTTGGTGGCCGTACATTCAGACACGCACAGATTATTTGGTCATGCTCCGAAGTGTGCTCTGAGGTGTTTGATGTACAGCTGGCAAGATGCAAAAACTGCTTGCACAATTGCCCTTATGAACATGGTATGCCACAATACCATTTTGACCTATGTAAACAATCCTGAGTTAAATCTATACATTAAAGATAAATAAAACAAACTACTGTATCTTGCTTCCTACCAGTGGTGCATAGGTGTATCATGTGGACTCATGGCACTCAAGTGGTTGATTTCACCAGTATGATGGATATTCAGAGACCAGATTTGTGTGTTTGTATGTTTATTTTCACACATACTGGTCTTCATCCTGACTTCTGATCCAACAGAGGGGTAATCAACACCCTTTGTAAAAAATAAAAATAAAAATAACAGTAGCTTCAAACCTTTTGTAGTACGTGGTATCTCTTCAAAGACACACTTCCTCCTTACTAGATTGGTGGCTAACACTGCTGGTGAAATTTCTATAAGATAATGAATGGCTGGATCAATTGGAACTATATGCCCATCGGTTTAAGCAATGAGAATCCTGACCTGTGCTGTTGGTTACCAAGAGATTATGGGCCTTGCTTTGTTTACAATCCATTTGAGATGCTGAGTTGACTGGGATTTGGCCTATTCATTTTAGTTATGTCATTGTATTGTGTGTGTGTTCTGTGCTATCAAGTCAGAACTGACTTATAATTACCTTAATAGGGCTTTCAAGATAAATTAGATATTTAAGGAGTGGTTTTAACAATTCCACTTACCCAGTGAGTTTCCATGGCAGAGTGGGGCTTCAAACCCTCTTTGCCAGAGTCCTAGTCCATCACCCTATCCACTATACCACACTGGGAATCATAGCATGTATCTACTAATTTTAATACTATTTTATACTATTACCTTTTAATTGATACACTTATTGTGAGCAATATTTGAGAGCCATATGCTTTTGTGATGGCTGATGAAGTTTTAAATGACCAGATTTGGAAAAGTGGGAAGAGGCAATGGAACATTGCAGAAATCTGCTTCAATAAGGTTGGTCTCATTCCTTTTCCCTTGAATCCTCAGTAACATATCAGTGGTTCCTCCAACACCTCCTCCGTTTGCTGAATCCACAACTGGAGTCAATACAGTGGTAATGTATACTTTTAAAATGAAAATTGTGTGTGTCCTGTGTGCATACAGATCCTAAAAGTTACTTTTCTGCCTGGTGGACCTGTGATAGTGAACCTGTCCTCTAAGTTTTTAAGGGTTGGACTAAATATGGCAGCGTGAGATCCATTCATTGGAACTTAGATTTGCTGCCGTCATGGATGAACAAAGTGGGATTTAAAGAGCAAAGTTGTTAAGGAGAGCTATCCAGGTTATCTTCTTGCATTGTTTTCCCTGATGCCATTTTCCTTTCAGCTGTGCTCCATATAAGAATTGAACCTGGCTGGAGGAAATATATTTGAGGAACAGATGGATGATTCTGTACTCCTCAAACAGGGTCCTTCTGCTTTTTCCCTGCTTTCTACATGATCATGTGAATTTAGGCTTCAGGAATGTGCAGCCATTGTGGCTACGTCTGGTTTGTAGTCCCTAGGGGGAAAATCCAACTCAGTTGACAGAAAGTACTGTATGAAAATTAATGAATAGGCGGATGTACTTCCTACTGCAGTTTGCTTGATTACATCAGGGCTTTGGGTGAATGAAAAACTCGCTGCATGGTTCAATTCAACAGTCATATAGACTTCCATTTTCTTGTCTGAATGGTAAACATGACAATGAAATTCTTTCTTTCTTTTGAGTTTGAACTGCCACCTGTTCAAATGAAGCATCTAGCTTCAAGCTCAAAGACACCATCTTCTTATAACACAAGTGTCTAGTGTTTATTACAGGTGCTTGGTTGTGTGTGTCTTTAAATTCCGGTGAGTTTTCATGGCTCACTGCTTCGAGACTATAGCTAAGCTTGCTAGGTGTGGTAGATGATTTTATAAAATAAAATACAGAATTTAGCTAGCTTTAAATTTGATAGATACTGGTGTTATGTGCACATGGGCAGATGCAAGCACATTCCACACCTGTAAGTATCCATTTCAAATTGTCAGATTCTGTGTTCTACAGAAAGACTTCTGCAAAAATAAATTGCAGACATTATAACAGCATACCAGGGATTTCCCCCTTTTATTCCTAATATAATTACTGGAGATATCTATGCTTCAGTAAGTACAAAAGAATCTCTTTGTTCTTTTTGGAAATGTGACCTGTTCTGCTCATTCCAACCACTTCCCCTAATTGCTTGGCTACCGAAAGGACAGCTCTGTTTGCATTCTTGTACACACAGTTCCTTTGCAGTAGCTTGTGGGCATGTCGCATGGAAAGCCTTGACAACAGAATGTTTTAAATGATGATAACTTTATCTTTTGTTCCCACCCCCTTTTTGTGCGTTGCAGGAATCTGACCATCGTAAAAGTTTCCACAGCTCTGTGGAAAACCTCTTTTTATCTTTTACTACACAGATTAAAAGTAAGTGTTCTTCAGGGCTTTGGTGTTTTAAAGCAAGGTACCACACATTTTAGTTTGTCACCATGCACTTTAAGAAAATGGGTCAGGAAATTTAGCAGAGCATTCAACTAACTTGTTGTATTCAACTAACTTTCTCTAGGTTTGAGTGTCTTTAATGGATGAGGATGCACAGTCAAAGTAGTAAAACATGCAGCCTAATGAAAATTAAAGAGTGTGCAGACCTGCCTCGTCATGGATTTTCTTCTCTAGGAAGTGACAGGGACTTTGCTGCACCACCTTAACAATGTACTGCAAATGAAAATAGTTCTGATTGCAGTGCTGAGACAATTTTCCACTTAGTTCTTCCCTTCTCTGTTGGGGTGTGCCATGGGCATGTTTTCTTTTTAATCATTTAAAGCACACCTTGCATGTTTATGTAACTAAGAACCCATTGAGTGCTTTATTTTTAAGGGGAAGTAACAATTGAGTGGGGGCTTTTTTTAAAAGTTGCAGAGTGCTCCAGGGAGATGTTCATGGTTGCCAACTAGTTGGCACTGTATAGAGTCAGCTTCTGCTATAAACTGGCAGAACTGGTTTCTCTGTTTGATTGCAGGAGAGGAGATTGTACTCTTAGAAACACACATCATACAGTATATCACAGAATGATATTTTTATAGAATTAATCTCAGTGTTAACTGTTTTAGAAATTAAATCTTGAGATGTGAATATAAAATCTATTCTGGAATAACTATTATGTACTGCTGAAAAATAAGTATATCTTCTTTCCTCACCTTTCATTACCCTCCAAATATCCTTCAAATGATTATTTTTTACCTTCTTGCTCAATAGCATTACCCTCCAAAGAACATCATTCCAATCATAAAAAGTTTTATCCTTTATCTTATCCATAACCATATTAAAATCTCCTGCCGAATAACATAACCCTTCTTTACCTTCTCCATTTCTTTAATAACCATGTCATAAAAATCTCCATGTTTAATATTAGGTGCGTAAACATTAACCAAAGTATATTCTTCCAAACCCTTATTACCCTGTATTATTATAAATCTACCATTACAATCTTCTACTACCTGTTTCATTGCAAATTCACAATTTTAAAAAATTATGATTGCCACACCTCTAGATTTAGATGTTCCAAGGTTTTTTATTAAATGTTTATATTATTCATCTTAAGTTTGTTAACTCTGTCTTCTGATTGATGAGGTTTTTTTTGCAAAAAGACAATGTCCACCTTATTTTTCTGCAATAATGCTTCTATTCTTCTTTTCACTATCGATTCCAAACCTTTCATGTTTAAAGTGGCCAGTCTTATTCTCTTGCCCATTTCTGTTCAAAGTCTCTCCTCCTAACGGGGCCTGTGACTGAGTGGTCTTGAAGCAAATTGGATGTAAACATTTGCCTTCTTGATTTCACTGAGATGATTTCAATTAGAGATTATACCAATTTCTGAACTGCAATCATCAGCTCACATGATGGAAAGGATGTCCAGGAAATGAGCTCACCCTTCTAGTCTTCTTCCTTGCAATCCACCATGGTGGCTGCAGTGAATGCTTAGATTTAGAGGCAGTGTAGTACTGAATACCAGCTGCCAAGAAATAGTGGCCAGTTGCCCTTAGATCCTGAACACGGGTATCATGTTGACCGATATGGAAAGCAGGATGGATCTGCAGAGTTTTCTGGTTTCCAATGTGCTACTTTTCTCTGTCTAGGTGCTGCATCAGCTTTTTTTTTTTACAACTATGGAGGAACATTTAATCATGTGAGAACTAAGCCTTAGTGGACTTGACATTTGTTTGGAAAATTAGTCTTTCCTTTCCTTTGGTTTCTTTTCCTCTTGCTTCCTTTTCTCTCTTTCTTTTGCATCATGGCTACAGGAATGTTCTAGCCAGTGGATCACTATCCAGAGAAGTAATTTTTCTTATCACTGAGTTGAAAAGACATGTTGTATTAACAATTTGGAGAATGTCAGGTACAGCTTTGTAAGGTCTCTTATGCAACCCTTTTGCTGGAAGCAAGCAACCGGTAAATATTTATTATTTTTAAGAACACTGATGGAATGGGTTTGTAAGTCAAACATGCCTCTGAAACCATGTAATACCAACAATACTTGAAAAGAAATATAGGAAGTTTGCCTTCTCTTAAGTCCTCTAGCTCCATATTGACTAGAAATGATTGTTCAGGATTTCAGGCAACCTTCTTTCCTAACCTGCCAGAAGAGGCCATAATTTGAGCTTGCACCTTCTGTATGCGAAGTATGTGTTCTGTTGAGCCTTTCCTATCTAAGGCAACTTCCCTTTACATTAAGTCCCAGGTGGACAAAGAAATGTCATCTTATTGTTCCTCTAAAACTGCAAAATACATTGCTCATATGTTATGTTATTTAAAGCTTGTGTTCCATACGTTTTCTTCTGATACCTCTATGTATGTTTACAGCAGCAATCTTGCAGAGAGGACAGCTCCAACTCTGAACCAAGTACTGACTCAGATGTGTCTTCCTTCCAAGAGGAAGCTTTCATTTCCGCCCCTAAAATGTACAGTGCATCAGGACTGCCCGAATAGGCTTTTAAAAACTTCCTCTTCACAGAGGTGCAGAGGAATTTAATTTCATAGCATCACTGAGTAGATAGGTTGTCTGCTTAAATTACTTAACAGTATTGGGAAATTGAAAGCTGTAAGCCATTTGCTTTTCTTGATCCCAGCGATCAAACATACTGGAACCAAACCAAAATGGAGCAATCATATCTGCACCTAAAAAAAAAGAGCAGTTCCTGTCAGAGAGTCAAAAATTTGCAGGTATGAGCTTTCTGGAAACAGGCTGGTTTGTGTTGGCACATACATCATGAGATCACAAGAAGAAGTGAATCAGCTCTTCCCTAGAGGGGACCAACAGTGGCAGAAATCCCTGTGTAGTCACACCCCGTGTTTAAATAGATAACTTCCCCCTCCCCAAGGTTCAGAAGAGTTGTACTAGATTGATAACCTAATATGCTGTAATGCATGAGACTAACTTTATAAACATAAATGAATTTCTGTTTGATATTTTTCTCTATTCTCTCTCTACTTTTTTTTGTTATAGAAATGTCAAAGTCCCAGAATGATGTGACAGCTGAGAAATGTTTTCTAACTGCGGATTATTAGCAGCAAATGGATCCAGTGAAGGAGAGGAGAAGTCTCTCTGATACTGCCATAAATACTGCATGCAGGGTATTCAGTTTATATATATGACCTGAGGAGAAGTCTCTTTATATATATAAAAATGTCTGAGTATTTTTAAAGACTGTTTAAAAATAAATATGCATGTGGACCTAACATACTGCACTTAAATCAGTATCAAAATCATCAGCCAGACAACAACAACAAAAAACCCCACACAGAAAAAACACCATTCTACAACCAGATAATTCAACAGATTCTCTGAATTTAATAAATTCTATAAAAGTCTTTTTTGATGGTGTGAAAGCCTTTCCCCCTCCACTGAAGTGATTGGGACAGTGCCCCATTTGAGTAGAGGTCCTGCATCCACTGTAAACGGCTGGATTGCATCAACTGTTCTAACAAGTAAAGAAACAGGGCCACCCAGGTTGTGTGACTTCTTTCTTAGAGAGTTCAGGTTAAATGCTTCTGTAAAGCTTCAGGCGAGCTGCCAGGACCTCCATTTTGCACACTTCCACTATGGGTTAGGTGTCTGCTTTCCCACTTTTATACTGAATTGTCTTACTCTTGGTTTTAATGTATGAAATTGAATGCTTTTTTATTATAACGTGAACTGTTTTCATTGTCATTTAAACAATTCATAATATTCTCTGTTTTTAATTATGTTTGCTTTGAGTTTATTTTAGGGGGCAATGTGGGGTACAATAAACAAACAAGCAAACAAAAAAATGAATGAATAATAAAACTTAGTGTGTTGGATTTCTCAGGCAAATAGTATTCCAACTCTTCACCGGCTTATAAGTGGGGGGAAAGGCAAACCTGAAGTTGCTTTGGAAAGAAACTCTAGTGAAGAGATTGTTCCACTGAGTCCCAAGAGTGACACTCTGTTTTCTCAAGGCATACGATCTGTAAGTAGTGATCCTGTTTTCTTGCTGTTTTTCATCATTTCACATGATGAATACATTATACTCTGGAAGCTTAAAAATTTACCACTACTGCTTTTGTGGTCAAACTGTGGAAAAGTCCTTCTGCCTTTCAGGAATAAAGACAGCTTCATGAAACATCTCTTTCATAGAGAGATGCTACGATATCTCAAATCAATGTTAATATTGCCCGCATTTACAAGTGGCCTTATATATTCCAAGACTCTCACCTGCTAATGTACACCGACTGAGACTTAAAAGGCATACCAATGTTTATGTGTTACCAGCTTTTTGTGATGGGCTAATTTAGTCCCAGTGGTACTTGAGGCTCAAGCCATAATAGAACTCACCTTGAAATGAACATGAGTTGTATTGGGGTTTGACCCATAAATACCACTCATCTCAGTAGGACTAGTTGGGATTAAAGTTGAATTTATCCCATTGTATTCATTCCTTGTCTTGTTACAGGATAGTTTATGCAGCATTAATAGCACATGCACTGAGGCAGGCAACTTTGAGGAAGCTGATGTCAGCGGTGAAATAGAATTTGCCCTCAGATATGACTTCAAAGTTGGCATTTTAGAAGTATGCATCAAGGCCTGCAAGAACTTGGCTTATGGAGAGAAGGCAAAGAAAAAATGCAATCCGTAAGTTTGTTTTGGTTGCCCAATCCAAAGCATAAGGCTTAAAATGTCAGTGCCAGACAATGGCTGAACTCCCGTTTGTCTTTGTGAATGTAAAATTATGCCTGTGTAAGTTTGCCTGGCACTATACTCAGGCAACAAGGATTGTGCAGTTTAATTGCACAATCAGTTGTGCACTTCCCGTCATTACCATTGCATGGTACGCATGCAGAAGTAATTCATGAGTAGCATTTCTGCTGTGCTGCCGTTTTCTGAGCTTGTTCCACAGCTTCATGTTGTATATCTGGAGCTATGCAACAGAATTTCAGCCAAAGAAGGAGAATCTTCTTTCACTGGATCTGTAAATGACCATTTTTCATTATTTAAGGTAGCTTTCAGTTTTCATCTAAACAGTTGCCACAAAGAAGGGGCATATTTGCTGGTTATTGCAGAGGAAGAGAAGGAAATGTTCAGGTTGAACATTAAGAAATAGTCACAGGAAGACTGTATTGGACAATGGAAGGAAATTATTTTGCTAGTGACTGTTGTGTTCCCCCTAATTAATGGTACAAAATAAACCATTATTGTTATTAGATTTATTTCAGCTAGTGTAGGAGCAAGCTTTCAACATATATAGAAATCTTAATCAAGCAAAAGTGAGAGACAAATATCTAGAGACCAGCACAAGATGCCAATCAATGCAAATATTGTAGTCACTTCTGCCTCCAAAACCCTGTAAAGGGTTTCCATAAGTTGAAATCAACTTGATGGCATGTTATTGTAAATCCATTGGTGTCATTTCAGAAGCTTATTTTGCTGCAGGCATTCATTGACCAGCAGGGGGCAACATAATGTTACAATAATAGGAAATCGAGCTATAGAATCTATTTCTGTTTAAACCAAAATTTTAAAGTAGGGCTTAAGCTGAATAAGCATCTTTGCCAAGATTATTTAAGCCTAGTGCTATTTAATTATTTTAGTGTTTATAAATTAACTTTAAGGACCGTACCGCTGCTATTGGCTGTTTGCACATTAACATAATCATAAAACAAATACTGTAATTAAAAATTACAAACCCAGTAGCAGTGATAATTCAGCAATGCCATATTTGATTGATAATAAAAAACAATTAAAAATCATTGAAAAGCTTTGTTCAACTTAGGTTAATCAAGTGTAAATAATCAAGTCTTCAAAAGCTATGTTTAAAAACATAACACAGAGGGGGCGAAGCAAAATTTCCCAAGTAATAGAGTTCTGTCATTAGGAAGCCGCTACCAATATTGCCTTGTCTCAACAACTTGATATAATTTACTGGTTGATCTGTGATCGGGACCTCATGGGCAAGGCTTAGTGGTTAGGAAGGCAGCTCTTCATATATTCAGATCCCAGACCTACAGAATTCTGCAGTCTAGTCCTAAATATGTTCACTAACTCTCACTGATTTCCACAGTTTTCTCCCAAATAAGTGCACAAGATTCTAGCTTTAATGGCAGGCTATTTGTCTAATTGAACTTTGAAGGCTCTTTCCGTGTCTGGTACAGGGTGGAAAGATGGAAGCAGGAGGAAAGATAATTATCTCTGCTTGAGGCCAAAAGTACTGTAGAAGACTTTACATTAACCTTGTATCTAGAAAGAAATGATCTCTTTGTTTCAGGAATGTCTGGTTATAAAACCACATTAATTCTCCCAGCTATGCATCTTGCTTTCCTGGCTTTGTTTCCATAATATAAGCCCACAATTATTTGTCTCAGTTCCTCACCCTAGAGAGAAATGCAGTGTTAGAAAGTAGGAATGTATCTATATAAGCACTCCTAGTCCCTGCATTCATGGATGTTCTTAAGAGTGGGGGGAATAGGAAAATTCTTCCATTGGTGCCCAGAGAGAATGAAAGTGGTTTTGCGAAGTTATCAGGAAAATATAGGTAAATATAGACACACAAAACAAAGGCAACAAAACAAAACAGTGATTAACTGCTTTTGGGGTCTTGAAACCATAATAACAACCACCCATGGCTTTTTTAAAAGCTACTTTCCAAGCTCCTATTATCATTATACTGGATGCTGTGCATGAATTTATGTGTGTATGAGAACAGGCTCTGTATACTGCAGGATACCTTGAAGCTGGCTCATCTGATTTCCGTGGCAGGCAGTTGGGAAGATTGTGTGCAATAAATGATAAACTGATAAATGATAAACCAGCATGGCACAAAAAGAAAAGAAGTGTGCAGGGTGGGGGATTCTGCAGAGATCAACTACACTTCTCCCTTCAAGAATGCTGGAGGTGCTGGACCCCCATGTAGTTCAAAATCCATGTATAAATCTAATGCCCGCCCGCCATGTAAGTACAAAGTATAAACGACACACACACACACACACACACACACACACACACACATTGCCCCAACCAGGGTCAGCCTCCAGGCACGCCCCAGCATCCTACCAGTTATGAAACTGCCGTGACAGGAGAGGGGGTTGCTGCCATCAGATCAGGAGCTGCTGCACTGTGAGCAACAGGGTCCTAGCTAAGCCCAAAACCCACCTTTTTCAGGCCACTTCCCAGAGACGAAAAGCAGCACAATATTTATTTATTGCAAAAAGCCCTGTGTTTAACCAAAGCCGTGCTGCTCAGATCCATGCAATTTAAGGGAGAAGCGTAGTAGCAGCCGTATGGCTCTCTTTCCTTCTGCCCTTCCTTTCTCATGGCTCCTAACTGTTGTCTTCATCTTTGATTTTGCAAGGTACATTAAAACTTATTTGCTGCCTGATAAATCTGCTCAGAGTAAAAGGAAGACCTCTCTCAAAAAGAACACACTGGATCCTGTGTATCAAGAAACATTAAAGGTACATTAAGCAATATTTTTAATCCGGATATCTGGCCACCCTTTGACAGACCTAGAGTCAATCTGCACAAGACACCGAACTTATAACAAGAAGCTAATAGCATGATTTTTTTCTTCAGTGATGAGAACTGATGCATTTAAGGGAACTCCACTTTTGAATGCAAAGCTGAGTATCTGTTGTAATCTGACCTGTTACTAAACTTCTCATAGGCAGCACTTTCTGTTAAAAAAAAAAGGAAGCAGGGGCCCTTCATTCAAGGTTTTTATGTTTTGGCAAAAGTTTTCTCTTTTGTTCTGATTGCACCTGTTAGCTTCCAACAAGTAACAGATGCAATCAGAACAAAAGGGGCAACTGAAGGTAGCCCTGTAAAATAATTACAGATCAGAAGTCAAGATTTATTTTTCTTCTATGAAAACTTGCATTGTGATATAGTGAAAATACTAAAGATTAAAAACCCTGGCCACAAAACATGGATTTACACCAACTGCATCTCTTACAGTGGACATACTTTTAGCATCTTGAGCAATGTCTTTGTATTAAGGTTATATTGTATGTCTCGTAGAATGAATTGGGAGTTGGACGGAATACTTTTCAAGTTGAAAAGGAGTTAAAATGCACTGGATATGCTTCCAGTTATCTCAGGGACTATTCATCATTGCTGTTTGGGCTCATTCATGTAAAGGTCTTAGCTGTCACTTTAAAGAGTATTAGGAGATCTCATTACATCCGGCAGCTCTGAGTCATTAGAGCTGCATTTAGGGACTGCATCTCTACTTCCTCAATGCTGAATGTGTATCTGAGTAGATTTCCAAAATTGGAGGTTTTATTGTTAATTACATCTTTATTCCCTTCTCCACTAAAAAGCATTCAGTGTGCCTAATAGTCATCATTAAAACACATTAGAAATTAGATAAGACCATTAAAATATCATCATAATAAAACTATTTAGATAATCCCAATAGTGAGTGAAGATTTTTAAAAACTTAAAAAGCAAAATTGAATAGATTCTCAAAACAGTGGCAGTGTAGGGAAGATGGAAAGAATATACTGAAGAACGATGCAGGAGAAATGCAAGGCTGAAAGATTATTTCAAAGAAAGAGAACTTTACAGAAGATGCTGTAATTTTAGAAAGTGAAGGGAAAGCTGCTCTTAAAGCAGATGGATAAAATAATTTACCTTTTAAAGCTAGAGAAACTGAAATAACCCCAGAGATGGACCCTTTCATGCTAAATGAAAGGGCTAATGTACAACAAATAAACAAAAAAAGCCTATACCCAAAATGGAAAAGGCATCTCTGAAAGAAATGAAAACAGGACAAAAAAGAATGTTTTCACTGTGCACAGGCCTACCTACTAGGCAGAATGCGGTGTTAATGTTATTTCCCACACTGTTGACACATAACATTATTTATCCAGCTGGTTTTTTAGTGATAGCTAGCAGAAATAGGTTAATAAACTAAATAATGTGCTAGATGTTTGTGTTCCAACTGCATAAAATGTGTGCTATGCAGATTATGTCTTATACTAATTGAATTGTTTGTTTTCACAGTACAAGGTTGAATACTCCCAGCTGGAGACGCGACAACTTCAAGTATCTGTGTGGCACTGTGGCACTTTCAGACAACAAGTGTTCCTTGGAGAAGTGGTGATACCATTAAAATCTTGCAATTTTGAAGACAATTCAGCTCTGTCATTCAACTGGTATCAGCTCAAAACTAAGGTCTTTAAACCTTCCAATTGGTTCATATTTTAAAATCAGACATACAACAGACAGATCATGTAATCGTTCCTTCCTGAAATAAAAGTTCAACAGAGCAGCTATATGCAGATGTGTGTGTGTTTCTGCGCATGTCTGTATATACATGCACAGTGTTAGGAAATATTGATTCCTAACATTGTGCTACAAACATATTTTGTCTTGTATAGTTAGGTGGACATAAATCATATCTGACAGCACTGGAAGGGCTCTTAAGGGCTATCTATTCCAACCCCATAGCAATGCAGAAGTCCATAACCAAAGCATCCTTGTTGTATGGCCATTCAGCATCTGCCCAAAAAATTCTCTTATGAAGAAGAGTCCAGGTGGTATAAATGACTGTCCAAGCATCTGGAGGGGCTTTCTTCTCATCTCTGCTGTTCTCTGATGGGCAGTGCTTTGTCACAACATATGGTGATAACCATCAGCTCGGATGACTCTATAAATGCCATAATGGCATTGACATTAACCATCTGAATATAACCTCCATAGGATAAAAGAGTATGCCTCTGAAGACTGGATGCTGTAGATGGCTGTATTGCTTCCATGCCATTCTTGTGAGCTTCCATTCTGTGCAGATTTCATAGAAAGAGGTTCCCAGAAGGACAAATTAAAGAACACATGTAGCATATTTTTAGAAGAGGGACTCTCCCAAGTAAGGCAAGATGCCTGCCTACTATAGCATGAGCTTAATTCAGCTTCCTGTGTTTCATGCCAGTAAGCTTTCTTTTATGATTGTTCATTGGAGGATGAATGTAACTTAAGCCCGGTTGCTTGTCTTTCTGAGGAAATCGTATTCTCTAAGGGGAAAATATCTTCACTGTAGGAAATAACTATTGGGTTCTGTTGATAGCTTAACAAAAAGATGACGCTCATGTCTTTCAACTTCTGTACAGCCTGAAAAATCTGGAAGTTCTGTGGCCCAGTACAGTGGAGAACTTCTAGTCCGTGCAAAGCTGGTTTCACCTTCTCTGGGTAACAAGTTCCAATACGAGGAGCATCTGAAAGAAAATGCAGAGCATTGTATGTATTGATTTTGCTAGCACTTACCTGATCTACTGACGTACGGGCCCTGTTGCTCACCAAGCTTCCATACTGAAAAGTGGGGAAGGGTGATCGGTTGACTTCTACATTGCTGAAATCAAAGTTTCACGCTACATAACATTTTGAGCTGCAGCTAGCTGATAGTGAAATGCAAGACACTTGTGTTTAGGTTTAGGCTGCACCACTACAGCAGATTGCAACATGACTAAAGGTATTGTTGTTGTTGTTTAGTCGTGTCTGACTCTTTGTGACCCCATGGACCAGAGCACGCCAGCCCCTCCTGTCTTCCACTGCCTCCCGGAGTTGGCTCAAATTCATATTGGTCGCTTCAGTGACACTCTCCAGCCATCTCATCCTCTGTCGTCCCCTTCTCCTCCTGCCTTCACACTTTCCTAATATCATGGTCTTTTCCAGGGAGTCTTCTCTTTTCATGACGTGGCCAAAGTATTGGAGCCTCAGCTTCAGGATCTGTCCTTCCAGTGAGCACTCAGGGTTGATTTCCTTAGAATGGATAGGTTTGATCTCCTTGCAGTCCAGGGGACTCTTAAGAACCTCCTCCAGCACCACAATACAAAAGCATCAATTCTTCGGCGATCAGCTTTCTATATGGTCCAACTCTCACTTCCATACATCACTACAGGAAAAACCATAGCTTTGACTATTCGGAATGTTGTTGGCAAGGTGATGTCTCTGCTTTTTAAAGTGCTGTTGAGGTTTGTCATCGCTTTCCTCCCAAGAAGCAGGTGTCTTTTAATTTCATGGCTGCTGTCACCCATCTGCAGTGATCATAGAGCCCAAGAAGGTAAAATCTGTCACTGCCTCCATATCTTCCCCTTCTATTTGCCAGGAGGTGATGGAACCAGTGGCCATGATCTTAGTTTTTTTGATGTTGAGCTTCAGATCGTTTTTTGCACTCTGCTCTTTCACCCTCATTACAAGGTTCCTTAATTCCTCCTTACTTTCTGCCATCAGAGTGGTAGCATCTGCATATCGGAGGTTGTTGATATTTCTTCTGGCAATCTTAATTCTGGCTTGGGATTCCTCAAGGTATACTAAAGGTATATAATGACTAAAGGTATACCTCTGTCCAAAGACCTTTCATACATAAAAGTGCTTGACTTGGCAGGAAGAAGAGTATAAGTATTGTCTTTTCAGCTACATGGTACTTTCCCAAGTGCAGCATTTAAAACAAAACAGATGTAGTTCATCATTTTAGCATTCACCTCATTAGGTCCTACAGTCTAGCCAGTGGCTTGTCGTCTCTAGGGACTGGGAGTGCCCCAGGCAAACTGGTAGTTACTCTTTACTTTTAAAGCCCCTCCTCATGTGCCAAGGCTCCTAAAAGCTTCCGCAGTGGAAAAGAGACCACTAGAGAGTTCTAGATCCTAAAATGGAGATAGGAAGCTTTTGACTAGCGTAAATGTTTTTGGTATTGGGAGCAAAGTGGTGCAGTAGAATTTTGCACTATGTGCATTCAGAAATAAATCTCATCAAGTTAGCTTCTTCTGAGATAGGTCAGTGCATATTTGTACTCTTGGCAATTATTAGGGTTGCACCACTTCTGTTCATGAGTTAGCTTCTTCTGAGATAGGTCAGTGCACATTTGCACTCTTGGCAATTATTATTATACATTACTTTTGTATTTAGAGAGTTGGACAGAACTAAGTTATCCTGTCATTGTGCTTTTGGATAGTCACTTGTAAACAGTTGTTGTGCATTTTAATTAACGGAATAGTGTTATGAGTTCTAGCATTTTCCTTTAGCTCTTGCTTCCTCTTTCAGGTATAGAAGCCCAGGCACAACCTGGTTACCAGCTTCATGTTATGATACTTGGCACCAAGAACTTGCCCATGATAAGACCTGATGGCTTCTTAAACGCATTTGTTAAAAGGTATGGTTGTCCATATTCTTTTTTCTTCCCCTTTGTCTTCCAGTTATTCTATCATTCCAGTGTGGGAGATTTTAAGAACATTGGTTTAGAAGAAAAAGAAGCCTGTAGGCCAAAATATTGTGAACGGTAGGATTACACAAATGTAAAAGTGGGTAATACCTTTTATTAGATCACTAAACATCAAACAAACTGCAAGCTTTTGTGGGCAAAATTCCACTTCTTCAGGCTTAGCACAACCCCGTGACTGATAGAGAGAAAATTTGTACACAAGAGTCCAGAAATTAGTGATACATGTCTGTGAGAGTTGATATAAGTTCTCTGAGGCTGCAGCCTCAAGCCTCTCTGCAGACTGAAGAAGTGGCATTTTCTTTGTCAAAGCCTGCAATTTGTTTGATTTCTAGTGGTCCAATAAAAGGTATTACCCTCTTACATTTATGTAATCTTTCGTGACCACATGGTATTTGGCTGTTTTTGGCCCTACAGATTTTATTTCAAGACTGAAGGAATGACAAGGTCTGGATGTGCAAATGTGTCCCCCAGTCCTTAAGGTTTGCTTATCCCTGAGATGTTCATTTCTGTTAAGACTAAGAATAACTGCATGTACTAGCAAGCCATTAAGCACCTCCTCATTCCACCCTTTTCCATGAAAGAGTTAACTGTGCACTTAACACTTTCCTGTTCAAAATTGCCTAACTGTGGCCGCATCATTTCGGTCAAGTGAGTGAAGCAAGAAAATGGCTTTGCTGTGCTGCACAATGTTTCTCTGCATCACAAAGCAAGTGGCTTGCAGGGGGGGGGGAAATGATGTTTGCCAGCTGTTAAAAATATTGAAATATGAAGAAGATAAAACATAGTGTGATGCCTTGATAAGTTTTGTAATTGACAGAAATGCTGGACAGCATTAGGGGAAGTACTTTCAATGATGTATTTTGAATGAGATAAAAGAGGTACTTTCAATGAGATAAAATGTTTTATTTAGCACTTCCTTGTCAACAGATATGATTGCTGTTGAAGATAATGGTTATAATCAAGGCTGAAATCATCAGTAAATGGTACAAACTGTAGCAGCTCATTTCCTGCAACTCATCTCATTAGGAGCATGCTACTTTAGCATTCCAGAGGCTGTATTTCTTTATAGTCCTGAACATGTTGAAATCTGATTTTGGCCAAACAAAACAAAACAACTCAAACACAGATGTAGATTGTATTCAATGTGATTAGAAATCCATCTCTATACCTTAGCAGCAGCAGCAGCAGCTTCTTTAAGACTGTCCTCTCTTTGTTGCACTCTGCCAGATCTTCACACAGTCATCTTCATGGCATTGCAAGGTCTCTTTATTTTCTTTTTGAACATTCTGCTGCCTCACAGAACTCAGAGAAATAAAATGCCATTCCCCAAAGCAATGCTCAAAGTATTCCCACTTTCTTCTCTGTCCCTTTAATAATAATTTCATTGGCAGAAGTGAAGTTCTCATCATCACTATATTTCCACTTCAGGACATGCTGCAGCTATTGAAAATACACATTGTGTAGACAGAGCATGGATCAAGGTAGCTTGGAGTGGGAAGAATACTCTAACTGTGCCAGGTCACAAGAACTGTGCTTCTCGACGTTATCCCAAGAAAATTGAACTGCTGCTTTTTTGTGCAGGCAGTTCCACACAAGGGTCCCTGTTTGCCGAAACTTAAATGAAAAAGTTCTAGTAGTCTCATAAGTAGTCCTAGAGTAGTCCTAGAATGAGCTGGAATTGTTAGCATGTATACATTACTGAAACAGCGACGTCTACGTTGTCTTGGGGATGTTGTGAGAATGGCTGATGGTCAGATTCCAAAATATCTCCTATATGGAGAATTAGTGCTGGGAAAGCGCCCCAGAGGGAGACCACAGCTGTGATCCAAGGATATGTGCAAGCAGATCTGAAGGCCTTAGGAATGGACCTCAATAGATGGGAAACCTTGACATCTGAGCGATTAGCCTGGAGGCAGACGATATAGCATGGCCTCTCCCATTTTGAAGAGGCACTTGTTCAGAAGGCCGAGGCAAAGAGGCAGTCCCGAAACCAGCAAAATCAGGGAGCTGGACAGGGGACAGACTGTATTTGTCTTCAGTGTGGAAGGGATTGTCACTCTCAAATTGGCCTTCTCAGCCACACTAGACGCTGTTCCAAGACCTCTATTCAGAGCATGTTACCATAGTCTCTCGAGACTGAAGGATGCCTACACACAAATGGAAAAAGACCTAAACTCCCTATAGACTAAGGGTGTGACTACACTGGAAAGCTGAATTGGACTGATTTGGCTTTGCTGTAATTTGATTTGCATCCTGATTTTACATTTGAAACCACAGTCAGTGCTCACACAAGAGCTGCAGATTGATTCAGGAGTTCACCCTTCATACTGGAAGCGATGTGAATTGCATTCCAGCCCATAGCCCTTCCCTCCTTCCTTCCTTTGGTTTAACCTCTGCCAATCCTTCCTTCCTCTGGTCCTGTCTTTGCTGATCTCACCGAGAACTAGTAGGGGCAGAAATATGGGAAATAATATTGATGACCCACGCCCCTCTAGACCATGTCTACTCGTCTACCATGTCTATTGATGACTCGGTGATAGGGTGATCTGGCACTAATCTCATACATGTAAGGATTTTTTTAAAAAAATATTAAAATTTGGCGGACGATCAGGGTCGAGGAAAGAATGTTGGGCATGTTCCGCCTAGTTCTGAACATTAACCCTAACTGTCTACATCACTGAAACACCACTTACAGGCATGCTCCCTGTCTCTACAAGAACACATCATAACTAACTGTTGGTCATATACTTTCTGAATAATTTTTAAATGTTCTCTTTTGGAAGTTGTCTTTGCATTCTGGGACAACGGGACATAAAACAAAGGACGCCTGTGCTGAAGAAGCAAGCTCAGCCACAATGGAATCACTTGTTTGTCTTTAGTGGGTTTACAATGTCTCAACTGCATCAGTCTTGTCTGGACCTAACCATCTGGGATCAAGCACTGTTCGGTTTACGTGATCAGTTCTTGGGTGGGGCACGGCTAGGAACACGTAAGTACTTTGGAAGGGAAATAAAATTAAAGAATTGCCTATTCTGGGCTAGACAGGTATTACTAAACACCAGACAAACCAGTGTAACACAAAGTATTGCAATTGGGACAGTGTTGAAAAAAAGTAAGCAGAGAGGAGGAATTCTCTAGTTTAAATCTCACCTCTGTAATGAATTCACTGGATTTCTCAGCCTCTCTCATGTCTATAACATGAGGGTGATACCACAGGCTTACTGAAAAGTTCCCGCAAGGATTATTGAAATGATGATTACGGAATGCTTGAGGAGAAAGTGCTGTTTCTGCTAGGTAGAATGAAAAGACTCTTGCAAACTGTAGTGTCTAAGGGATATGTGGAGGATCTGTGTGTTCTCTGTGTCTCCCTCTACCTAGTTTTATATGGGCTGTGCTATACTATGAAGAAAATGATAAGAGGGCATGGCTTTCCTAGAGTCCTTCTTTCCTGCTCCTCAGATAAAAAACATATTGAGGGATTTTCCTTAGAATTGTGGGGGCTGGATAGATTTAAGATTCCTCTAATATGATGAAATCCTGATGAAAACCAGCATCACACCACATTGCTCACTATAATACACTGCCTTATTGTTATAGCCTGACTGAGGGGGCACCGTATGAGCAAATCTACCCCTGCAGGTGCTTGAGTCTTTGGAAGCCCCACTCACATGATGTGGAGCTTACAAAGGGATTCAGAAAGTGGTGGCAAAGAAGTTCTTCTTCTGGTAGTGATGTCAACAGGACCACAGTATGTGAACTTTTCTGTGTGTGAATGTGATCACATCATACCTTAGAAGGACATTTTCTAGAGCATAGATGGTTGCCCTATTGGTCCTTGGTCCAGCCAATAGACTTAAGTGTTAGCATGCTGCTGGCCTACTTAGCCCACATCCTAGGATGGAGTTGCTATGGAAATCTAACCCCAGCAATACTAGTACTTTGAGGCCTACCATACACATTGAGAACCACTGACCTAGTTGTTGCTTACTCAATTAACCCATTGTATCCTCCATTATTCTGGTTCTCCTCATAACAGTCTTCTCTCTGGCCTACAATCAAAGGGACAAGGAATACTGACATGCCATTAGCAACACTAATTGGTATTGCTCTCAGCTTGCTTTGTTTCCTGCTAGGCACTCTCTCTGTGGTGATCCATTCTTTCCCTATTGCCAGAGACCCATCTAATTAAAAACTGGTCAGACACAAATGATTTCGCAGCTGGACCAATTAGCAACTCCAAACCGAGGTCAACTGGCAAACAAAGTTATATAGCAAACAGTTTGCATAGCATTCCAGATGATCTAAACAAAAATGGGGAATATATATCTTAATTGGGTAGTAATAGTGACTGCATTCACTAAAAAGTACAGTGGTGCCTCGCTTAACAAGCGCATCGTTTAACGACGAATCTGCATAGCGATGCGTTTTTTGCGGTCACTAATGCGATCGCATTGCGATGTTTTAGGTGGCAAAACATTGCATTGCAATAATCGGTAAGCGTTTCACTTACCGATCTTCGCATTGTGATGTTTAGAAAACAGCTGATTGGCGGTTCCAAAATGGCCACCGGGTGCAGAAAATGGCTGCCTGCAGCGTTTTCGTGCCCTGCTCTCGCTTACCGAGGCGGCGAAAATGGCGGCCGGATGGGGAATCTTTGCTTACCGGTGAGTTTTCCCCCCATAGGAACGCATTAAACGGAGTTTAATGCATTCCTATGGGGTTTTATGTTCCGTATAGCGATGTTTCCGGATAGCGACGTTAATCCTGGAACGGATTAACGTCGCTATGCGGGGCACCACTGTATAGTGCAGGAAGTATCTTTCAATCATTGTATAGTTCAGACAATTACCTGACAGGACAAAGTTCCAAATAGAGTAGTCCTAGAACGAGCTGGAATTTTTAGCATGTATACATTACTGAAACAGCAATGTCTACGTTGGCTTGGGGATGTTGTGAGAATGGCTGATAGTTGGATTCCAAAAGATCTCCTGTATGGAGAATTAGTGTAGGGAAATCCCCCCAGAGGGAGACCACAGCTGTGATACAAGGACATTTGTAAGTGGGATCTGAAGGCCTTAGGAATGAACCTCAACAGATGGGAAACCCTGACATTTGAGTGTTCAGCCTGGAGGCAGGCGTTGCATCACAGCCTCTCCCAATTTGAAGAGATCCTTGTCCACCAGGCCAAGGCAAAAAGGCAGTCACGAAAGCAGCAAAATCAGGGAGCTGGACAGGGGACAGATTGGATTTGTTTTCAGTGTGGAAGGGATTGTTACTCTCAAACTGGCCTTCTCAGCCACACTAGATGCTGTTCCAAGTCCTCCATACAGAGCACATTACCAGTCTCTCGAGACTGAAGGATGCCTAGTCTAGGATAACTTTATTGGACTGTTAAAATAACATAAAAGGTAAGCTTTCAGGTCCAATCTGCTCTGGACTGCGCATGTATTGTAGAGGCCTTAAAGGTGAAAAATGAAGTTTTTTTGCCTTTACTTTGGCTTTGGATCACTGTTGATGATTTTGAGAAGCTCTACTGCTGTAGGAGGGATGTGTCCCCCCCCCCGATACAGAATTTTGACTTATTTCCTGATGCTTGGGTTTAAAAAGTAAAGTAAGCTTTTTTATTGTAGTTTTTTTTGTAGTTGTTCTGTTTTCTGTGTGTCAGCACTGAAGATAAGTGCAGAAACCAAGAGTTTTCTCAGCTGAGATATGCTCTGTTTTGCAAACATAATGATGTATTTTGAAAGATTTTGTAAAAGTGAGGAGCCTTGAACTAATTCTACAAGGAATTACAACTCAGCATTAAGTTGCCTTGTATGGGGCATGAGATGTTAGGATGTTGAAAGCAACTGAATGAGCAGAATCAAGATGGGTCACACTCCCTTTCTTATGTTTGCAGAAACCACAATGGGCATAATGGATGCAAGCTCTCAAGCATGTCTTCAGTGGGAAAAGATGCTCAGCAGTCCAAACACATGGATGGATTTTGCACTTGCACTGTACCCTCATGCTACTGCTTATAAATTCTAAACTGTCAATTTCAGATCGTCTCCTGCTGTAACAGAAGGAAGGGTACTTGTAGCATTGGTCACTACCTGCCAAAACAAGTATGGAATGCAAGTTATATTATCTCTGAAAAATGCATGCCATGAAGAAACAAAACAGATGTTTTCACCTCTCCCTCACAATGCTGTAAATCTGACCCTCCCCCCTCCCCTGATCTCTATCCAGCTAGACAAGATCTCTTACAACTCTCCAATGTTTCTGGGCAATGGACTGAATATTATGGCCAGATGAAAACCTCCAAGCCAAAAAAATCAAGGTAGTGAAGTTAAATTAAGTTGTATTGGTTTTCAGTAGAAGTAGTACTATTCTATATACTGCTGGAAAACACATTCCATCTGGTTTGGTTAATGGCATTGCTCTCTGCAGACTCCAAAGACTTGGGCCCAGCTTCAGGCTAAGCAATGGCAGAACTGTAGGATTGGTGTGGGGCCTTTGCAGTTTGTTATACCTGTTGTCACCTATATGACTATTGGCTTGCTCAGCCAAGGTTGTTGGTAGGTGTTTAGTGCAATATGTTTTGGCTCTCGGGGAACAAGTTCATTCTCTCAAGGCTAAGATAGCTGACCTAGCGAAGACCCAAGCCGATGGATTTTTACCAGTCATGGAAAATGCAGGTCTTAAGAAAATGACCTCTTAAAAGAGATGAATGACCTCTTAAAAGAGAATACAAATATTCTCCAATAGACTATTATACCATTATGTATTCTACCAGTAATATGCATCTGGGGTTGTACACACATGTTGACTTATCTGCTTGGTGTGACGATAGCAAGTGTTGAGTTTTTGTTGGTGCCTGTATGATGCTGCGTCTTGCTCAGTCCCAATACTGTTCTTTTTTCCACGTTTCTTTACTACATTCTTCATTGTTACCGTTCTTCTGTTAAGTCACTGTAGCTGAGCTAGTACATGCAACAGCTTTGTGTGCTTTTGTGAGCATGAATTCCAGTCGGTAGAACTATATGCCAGTGTTTATTAATTTGGAGGACATTTGTAAGAGCAGCCAAAATACTTCAAGAAACAGGAAAAATACCCAGTTACTGAAGTCCAAGAGCAGAATTCCGGTAGTTAAAATTCAAGTGAAAAATAACTGCTTCATTGTATCTACAAGAAAACCATAGTGTAGACGATTTCAGCCTACAGAATTAGTTGAAATGAAACACACCCATTTAAATTTAAGATAAATGTCCACTTTTCCAAGATCATTTTAACCACAGAAGTCAGGGCCTGAACAGAAAGCTGTTCTCTATTACCCATAAACCCTTGAGACGATTGTTTCTATCCCTTAATTCTTTTTTCTTCAACCATTCTGTTTTAACATTCCCTCTGAGTTGGATACATGGGTTGTGTTATTTACTTCATCTCCACTATCAGTTATTCTAATGTATTTTTTTCCAAAGGGGATGAATTCATTTTGCTGCAGAAAAATAAAATCAAACAATACTTTGCTTTGCAGGTTTTTTATTTGTGGGTGAATTGCACAACATTGAATTACACCCAAACACTGTATCAGGATACAAAGGTTTAAACATCTGAGTATAAAGCAGTACAGGAAGTTCTATGTAGAGCAATGTACAGTACTCTGACATTCTAGCAGATTTCTAAAGCTTAAGATGGGATTGTTGGGGGAAGGGGGTTTAAGATGGGCATGGTGGTGAAGGAAATCCATAGAAATTCTCTTTAACAGAGAAAATAAAAAGGTGTCAAGTCCCTTCATGGTTGGAGTCTGAAACTAGATCATTTTTAAAAAATTAGAAAATCTGTTAGAAAAAATTGGTACAGTGAAATTGTATATACTCAATCATGAGCATGTATCACAATCTTCTTAAGTAAAAAAATCTTTACAAATATTTTCTAGATCATAAACAGCTTCCTACAGTGCCTTGCCCCAGAGACTAAGAGATACTATTTAATTCTTTTACATTTTATTATTTTAATATTATGTCTGAAGTAGTAACAAAATATACAAAGCAAAAGAATTTCATCCTCCCTTTCCAAACTAGAATTATATTTGTCACTTAACATCCTTTAACAAAAATATATATAAATACTACACTACAGCTGATTGGTTAAGCTGGAGTACCACACTTCAATAATATTGAAGACCAACAATGTTCCTGACTGACTATTATGTAAGAAAGGCATTTAAGCATGCCTGCAATACATTTCTTCTGATTGATCACTGTGGGAGCTTCTCCAGTTCAACAGTGCAATTTAAAAGCCTCTCAGTTAAATTTAGAAGGGTTCCAATATGCTGCTGGACATTTCTACAACAGTAATCATGGTCAAGGGCTGAAGATAACAATGGTGGTGGACAATGTTAGATTTACAACTCTGTGGTGTTTAAAAGCAAGGAACATGGCACAATATACTAGCAGTGCCCTCCCCAGACATACCTGTCATGGCAGAGATGCTTGAACACAAGCAATGTTAACAGGTAACACTATTAACAGAGAGAGAAGAAGCAATTCTAAGAGGCCTTTTGGCACTAATATAAAACCAAATATTGCCATGATTTGACTGAAACTCTTTGGCTGCTATCCTGATGCACTAAAAGTTGATAGTTTTATTAGCTAGATTCAGGTAGCATCTGATAATCTGATGCCCTGGGGAACTTGTGTTTTTTTTTTGCTACAACTGGCCAGTGATACCTTCAGAAAGAAAAATCTGCATTCAAAACCTGCCTTTCCCAAAGTCTGCTCTCAATGTATTTACATAGCCTCAAATTCATCAATTCTCTGCTTGGTATTGCCCTGCCGGATTTGCCTCAATGTCTTGTACTTGTCACGTCCTTGTCGCATGTTCTCTGTGTGGATGAGGTCATTTTGGGTCTTCTTGTTCTCATCTCTGGCCTGGGCTAGTTCATCAGTCAATGTCTGCAATATTTAAATAACTATGTTACACAACAATGAATACCTTTATGTGTGTAAAATTAAACTATACATATGGGTGCTTATAACACTTAATGCACAGAATCAATGTAGGACACATTAAGGAAGTGGCTGCTATTGTGTTTGCATCCAAGCGACAGAGAATTCACTTCAAACAAAATAATTTACCACACAAAGTTGTATCCAGGAATCTTCCATTCTCGGAAACAGCTACATTTCCCATGCAGAGCTGCTAAATATAATTTTATCCTTCCTTAGGAATGTTTTAGGAAAGATGCTCAGGATCATAACGTTCTGTATCACAGGCTGAAACTGTTTTGAGAAGTGTTTTGCTGAATGGGCATGGATTTCTTCAAAGAACTCTGGGAGCTAATTTTTATGAGGAAGCAAGTGTCCAACCCAAGTTCAGATCAATTCCTGATAGTCCTTGTGTTAAAGCCGTTAGAGTTGCACGTTCAAAGCTGGTCAATGTATATACAGTAATGTAAATGTGTCAGACTAAATTCAAAGGTTGCCAGGATCCATAAACCTACGGCTGACCAGACATCCCCAGATGACTTCTGAATTATGGTCTAGAAGGATAGGCAGGAGCCAGGTCCCAGTAATTAGGTGCCCAGTAATCCAATACCCATGGCAACTGGATCACCAAAATCCCAATTTACTTGCCCCACTGCCCTTTGTCATGTATTTTGTCTCCTGGAAAAGCAGAGGCATCATACACTCAATCTACCCCTTTGCAAAGTAGTCAGCAGCAACATAGTAGGAAAAAACGCAGCATACCAAGTACTTTACCAATCTATTATTTCTAATTGTGCCCAGACAATCTAGCGCATTACAACTCTGAATTTCCAGAGAGATTAGGCTTGTCGCAATACATCTGAATAAGCTTTTGTAAGAAATGGAAAGCTCAGAAATGTTACCTTCAACTGTTTTTGTACACGCTCATTCTTTTCTGCTTCAGTAATGCGCTTCTCTTCATTGCGATCGTCCAATATGCCTTCACTTGAGAATTCTGCGCTGTAGCCAGATGACTCTGTTCCTTCATCTTGAAGGCTATCTTGAACATGGTAGCTCACTGGCTCATAAACAGGTGGGGGTGGAGGAGGTGGAGCAGTCATCACCAAGTGTAGCTCCTCCTTTGTTTTTACAAGATCTTCTTGGGCTTCCTTAGCCTATAAAATGAAATCAGGAAACAAACTACAGTGTGACAGTAACAGCACAATCCTGTGCTTATCCAGCTCAGAGGTCAGTTTCACTTTATCAGTTGAGGCTTACTCCAAAGTAAATGCACATAGGAGATCAGCTAAGGACGTAGGGCCAAAGAGATGCATATTTAGACCTCCTTGAACTGCAGCCAGATGCCATTGTCTTAGATTGCAGAGTCAGTCAATCTATAATGTTTTTCCTTCAGTGTTTTTTTTTTTGCACTATTTTACAAATGCCTCTTATTTCAATCTTTTTGTGTAAGCCATTTTGAGGTTTGCCTGTACTGTGGTATACAAAGAATTTAAATAAATACAGCTTAGCTGCATCTTCATAGTCCTCTCACACTTCCTGCATGACTGAATTAAACTGTGAAATATATTACTCCAGAATATACAATTTCCCCCCCCCCAAAAAAACCTAACCTGAAAATAAGCCCTAGTATGATTTTTCAGGATGCTCGTAATATAAGCCCTACCCCCCAAAATAAGCCCGTTAAGTGAAACCTTGCACACCACCATTGTGCAGCATTGTGCACCAACCAGAAGAGGATGACAGCTGTATTTGAATAAATGTAGATTGTTGTACATGAAAAAAATAAAACATCCCCTGAAAATAAGCCCTAATGCATTTTTGGAGCAAAAATTAATATAAGACCCTGCCTTGTTTTCAGGGAAACATGGTAGTAGTGGCAACAGCTTTGGATGGCTTAAGAATAGGGTTAGACAAATTTATAGCAGATAAAGACACACAATGACCATTTGTCATGATACTACTTTGCAGTCCCCATTGCTATGTAACAAAAGCCAGCAGGAATTGCATTCTGGCAGATTGTGGGCTACACACAAGCATCCAACTGCAAAACTGTGTGAACATAATACTGGATCTGGCAAGGCCAGGAATAGGGTATATGTGGGACTCCAGATGTTTTGAACTTCCACAGTCCTTTGTAAGTGACCGTGTAGAGTGAGGCTTCTGGGAGCTTCTGGGAAATCCAAAACATCTGGAGGACAGAGATCCCTTACCACAACAACAGACCTTTGGCCCAATCCAGCCTGGTTCTTCTTCTGGTTTTATGGCTGCAGATGTACCAAAACCTATTTTACTACAGCTAGAATTCTACTAGTGTCAGGGCACATCTCAGTTATGTGCCTCATTACACCTGACCATCCAGCCAGCATGCTGTTAAATAGCCACAATCAGTCACAGCAAGTTATGCAAACACCAATAGGATTCCAATCTATGCAACATACACTCCATATTATCAGACTAACAGCTGTAAATAAAAGATCAGAGTAATTTAATTTACTAGTTAAAGAATGAATAGAACAAATAAAGAACTGCAGTCATAAGAACTGAGACAGGAGAGAGAGAACAGCATGCTGTTAAATAGCCACAATCAGTCACAGCAAGTTATGCAAACACCAATAGGATTCCAATCTATGCAACATACACTCCATATTATCAGACTAACAGCTGTAAATAAAAGATCAGAGTAATTTAATTTACTAGTTAAAGAATGAATAGAACAAATAAAGAACTGCAGTCATAAGAACTGAGACAGGAGAGAGAGAAAGAATCAAAACTAATGCATTTGTGAAGGTCTAAAAATGGTAACCCTATGGAAAGCTGGTGCCCAACTGTTAAGAATAATCCCTCCACACTTACTCTGTGCTGCCACTCTTCCACTTCATTCTCTTTGCGTTTCCTTGCCTCTTCGAGAAGAGCAATCTTGGCTGTATATTCTGCAAGTTCTGTAGCCTTGTTAGACACAAAGAGAAGGTAGTTAAAATAATCTACAGAAATATGAAATACTTTTGGTTAGTAAATCTTTCTAACAACCAGAAGGGAAAATGACCTTGTTTAAGTTGAAACTACAGGGTTAAATATAATGGTACTGTATTTACTGCAGATGTAAAACTGATGAATTGCCAGTGCAGTCAGAGCCTTAGATGGATTTGTGCCCACTTATGAAAAATCAGAGTTGTGATTTGGAGTTGCTTCTGGAACTGAGGTGCTACTGTCAGATTTGGGACAGGGTAGACAAAAGTAATTTGCCTGGGAAAGGCAGGTCAGGCCATAATTACATCCTTACTTACATAAAACCTGAACTATTGCAACTTGTTCTCTACAAGTAGACTTCCTTGATAAAACATTAAAAACTTCAGTTGGCATATGTTACCACTGGAGTAATGGAAGAAAAGAATAAGGTTTTATCTTTTAAAGACATAAAGCCTATTTTAATTCTTACTCTCAGACGTGCTATTCAGAAATATAGATTCACACAACTGTGGATGAATCTGATCTACATTACGGCAAGATTTTTCAACTGATTTAATGCTCCAGACCCATTTGCTAGCCAGATCTATTTGCTAGCATTCATGGGCATTTCCAACTTTCTCTCCCAAAAGCCTTGGGATACACACCAGCTGCTCCTGGCTCTTCATCTGGTCAGCAGCTTGCCTCTCCAGTTCTTCCTTAGCTTGCAGAGCAGCCAAACGCTCATTCTCTAGACGTTCCGCTTCCTCTTGAGCCCTTTTCCTTTCTTCCTCAAGCTGCCTGGCTTTTTCAAGTTGGTCTGAGAGCTCTGGAAAGAAAGAAAAAGTCCTTCAGATTAAACTGCTGGCTTAAGGTTACCAAGGTACCCCAAAGGTTGGCAAGCCAATTCAGCATTTTCTCTATACCTGTGGTCCACTGGGCTGTGTTTTCAGAAAGGTGGCATCTGGGGCCTTATATTAAACACAAAGCTTTCTACTTTGAAACTAAATTGTTACAGCTTTATATAGTGAATTACAGGAATACAGGCAAGTAACGGATTCTGAAGCACCAGCATAGCACACTTATAGGGAGAAGAGTCAATATTATACATTTGGATTTCACAATCTCATTTACAGATGTTGTTTCAGCCAAATCAGAATGTCCAACAAATCAAATGCACCATTTCAAATTTCAGTTCTGGCCAATGGAAAAGCCACAATTGTTGTTAAAGGCAGTGGTCCCCAACATTTTCCCAACCGCAGACCGGTGGGGGGGGGCGTGGTACGCTCGTGGGGGTGTGGTGCACCTGCAGGGGGGTGGAACGCGCTTGCGCACATGCGTGCAGCGGTGCTTGTGCACACGGCACACTCACAGGGGCGGAGCACGCTCACCCGCAGTGGGTGCTTGGGGGGAGAAAAGCCACAATTGTTGTTAAAGGCAGTGATCCCCAACATTTTCGCAACCGCAGACCGGTTGGGGGTGTGTGGCACGCTTGTGTGGGGGTGGTGCACCTGCAGGGGGGTGGAATGCGCTTGCGCACACGGCACGCTCGCAGGGGCAGAGCACGCTCACCCGCAGTGGGTGCTCGGGGGGAGCAGGAGATCTGTGTCTGTAGCCCGGTCCTGCCTAGGCCATGGACCGCTGCCGGGTCACGGACCAGGGGCTGGGGACCCCTGGTTTAAGGGACAGCCTGAGATGTTTGTGTTTATTTATTTCAGCGTGACTAATGGGGCAACTTTATTAATGTATAGAAAAAATGAGAAGCATTTAGAAGTTGTTTCTGGGAAACTGCTTAGTTTCACTCATTATGCTGTATATGTAAGTGGATGTAATGCTAGTTGCATTTCACAGGGCAATGTGCATGGGTAAGACAACTCAATCAAAGACTAAAATTCAGAGGAAGATGTTAGTAAACCCTCCAGCCCATAAATCCATTCAATCGGCATGTTCTGTGAAGGCATTTCTCTGTCTGCATATTTCTCTAAATTAGAAAAAAAATTCAAGGAATGGTATTGTTTAACTTATTCCAGTTTGTAAACACACCACTATGCTGGATATCTAAACAGATACGAACACTTCTCTGCTGAACAAATGCGAGTAGTACCTTTTTCTGCTTTCTGGGTCTTCAGTTCATACTCCTGTAGTCTCATCATCAGTTCTTCTTTCTCCCTTAACATCTGCTCTTTCTCCCTTTCAATTGTCTCTCTCTTCTTCTTTTCGTTTTCTAGCTGCTGTCTATAAGGATATGAAATTAAATTTATTTAAAAATTTCAGAGAGTACAATTGTGCTTACCCTTCACAAGCATGATAAGATGGACTGAAAAGTTTTTATTTGTTCATTCTTGTGATTCTACTATGCAGGATGCTTAAAATATAGTAGATAAACACTCCTTTAAATCTGCAATGCTGCACATATTGCTAGTGGCTAACTCCTGCTCACCAGTAACACTAATGTTAAGAAAATAAAATGATTCTTATGAAAAGATGTATATAAGCAGGGTAGGAAAGCCATTGCAGCTACAATTTCCATTAGCTCCATGGGAGCCCACACTCTATGGATATGAACAGCATTGTAAGGTTATCACCATGCACACTGGAAAACGGTCAAACACAAATTTCTTTTGGGAGAAAATGGTAGAAACCACCTACGTAATACAATATATGTTATGTGACAAGGAGCAAAATGGTTGAGAAACATGATTTATCTTGCACACTGAGAGCACAAGTCCTGTGGTATTAGGGGTATATTTGATCCTTAAAAGTTATTTCTGTACCCCCCCCTGCGCCATATAGATCCCCTTGAAGCTGCCTTTTCAAAAAAAATTCAGCCACCAAAAGAACTGTGAACTGATGCTCTTGGAAGTCTCTAGACTGGCAATTTCAATTTTAAATAGGTCGCACTTGCCCTCCTCTTGCTCCTCCCCCAACTATTGGCCAATTCTACTCTGGCCCCAGAGAATTCTGAGGGCAGAAGATTCCCCCCTGGATCCTACAAACGTGCCCACCTCTTATAGATGGAGAGAGATTTAATATGCACAAAACTCCTGGTTTGTTTTTAGCTAGTTTGCATATTGCTGCATAAGAGCAGTTAAAAGATTTCTTTAAACCCAACCTCTCTAGCAGCTGGATACAACCACACTCAAGATAACTACTGTGATTCAATATCATAATGCTTCTGAATAATATCCATTATGGCTTGCCAGTTCTTCTCATCTCAGTATTGCGAGTGTATGTGTATATGGATTCACTATCCCACCTTTCCTCCAATGTGTTCCAAGTGGTATATATGGCTTCTCTCTTTCTCACTTTATCTTTACAACTCTGTGACAACCAGCCTGTGACTGGGCCAAGGTCACTCAGTGAGTTAATGTTGTGGCCAAGTGGGGATTTGAGCCCTGCTCTCCTAATTCCATACGCCAACACTCTAGTCATTATACTACACTAGCTCTTATAGTGAGATACAGCAAGACAACACAGTAGGAAGATCATGACTCATGAACTTGCTTTCACGACATATGTACCTTAGTCACAAATCTCTACCTTTTCCTGACATCTTTTATATGACAGACGACAGTCAGCCATTCTCTCCATTTTATTTTACCTTTCTAGCTGTTTCTGGTGCTTTTCTTCACGGGCCTGGGCTTTCATCTGTTGGACTTCAATAGTGTCAGGCTTCCTACGGCGCATGTAAAGCTCATGATTTCCCATGCACAGCTGAAGGATCCTCTTGTTAATTCTTAGTCGAGGAGCATAAAACACAAAGTCCTGAGGATAAAAGAAAGAGCAAAACTCATGGTTTTTCTAAACATATACCTGGTTTTCAGCTAAGTAAATCTATCTCACAGCTTTTCAAGATGTCTTACTTTGTCCTTTGTTCTTTGTAATGGAAAATCCAGTTAGTAACACATTAACAGTGATTTATATGGGTAATTGTATGAGGCTCTTGTTCTCTTCCTGTAACATGAATGCACAACTGCCTATTTCAACATCTCAAAGTCATTAATAATTCCTGAACCTGATCTTTTCAGTAACCGCTATGATACCACTTCCTAAAAGCCTTTTCTAAAATGTTCATGTGGGACTGTCTGTGTGGTTTGCAAGTCAAGGGGGTGGAAGGTTCCCAGTGCTTAAGAGATCTGTCTCTATGAAAAAGCTAACCCAGACACTAACGACTGTATGACAGAGAAGAGAAGGGGAAATAGGGAATACAAATGCAGGAGCAGATTTTGATGCTATTATGTTAAGGAAATTAGAATAAATGAAGGTATTCATAAACCAACATCTGCCAATGAATATTGAGACTACTAAACCATTCTCAAACCTGTCACTGGATATAGAAATAGCCTCTTTTTTATTTTAAGTGTCATGCTACGCAATATAATAGCACCATTTTTCAGGTATCTAGTAGGAAACATCCTTGTGATAATGGAAAAAAAAAGTTGTTGCTCCTTCCGGTGGTCTGCTTCAGATCCCTTCAAAACTTAAAGCGTGTTTACATTTCCCAATAACCCTGCAATAAGCTGCATTCTAAAACAAAACAAGTTATAATCCTGGTGTTTAAACAGCATATTACACAGTAAGAAGCCATGATGCTGAATTTTCCCAGTTGCTGAGGTCACCCTCTTTGATCACTGCAAAAAACCAGCTAGCCCCTGGAAAGAAGCTGGCAGCTGGGACACCCATCAACTGGTTTGTGCAACATCCAGAAGCTCCACATCCTGATCCCACAGCAGAGGAAGCAGCAACACAAGAGCAAGGAGGGGAGGTACATCCTCTCCCCAGAGATGCTCGGCTGCCCCATCTCCTCTCCTCATCCGCTTCCTAACAGCCTAGTGGTGATCCTGTTGTTGGGGGGATTGTGGAAGTGGCCTCCCCACAGCTGGGGCATTGGGCGCTGCTTCTTCTCTGGGCTTCCAGGCGCTGTGCAAAACAGATGATGGGCTGCCCATCAGCTGATGGGGCAAAACTCTGTTTCTATTTTTATTTGTTAATTGTTGCTTTCTGGTATAGTGCTGTACCCAGACTGCAAAACTTTTTTAAAAATTAAAATAAAATAACAATGCGGAACAAATGGCTATGAGGTCATTCACACATGTGGAATTGATTTCAATGAATCGATTCCACATCTGCTGTAAAATAAATGGATCTGTGGGGGAAGAATAGAAAAACTGGCTGCTGCACAGAAAAATATTATTCCCCATCAAATTAATGTCTTACTAGAGGGAATCAGGCTATTCATTACAATAAAACTATTGGATTATACAAAACGGTGGCATGTTTTTTCACAATGAGAAGGTGGCTGCTTCTTTTTAACTCTCTGCAAATGCTTTACTGTCAATACAGTTGATAACCCCAGCTCCTAAATGGATAAATTTTGAAGTAAGAATGATTTTTGTATTCTGTTAGTGTTACTAACAGAGGACTTCATACAAATATTGCTTCTTTCACATTGGGCAGCTGCACTAGGCAGGCAATGAACAATTCATTGAGCTCACAACCTGACTATAAAATGGAATGTCTACATTTTGGCTTAGAGGGGGACATCCTCTAAGGATAGTAAGTGTGTGGAATGGAATTTCAAGTTGGTAGTGAACTGTCATAAATGCTGCATTTTAAAAAGACAGGAAGTGAGAATCATAGCTATTTTCATGAATTTAGGGAGCTCCACTCCCACATAAATTCAGTGTAGGTTATATTCCAGGGCTATGCACACAAAACTCTGCTAATACGTCTCACAAGGTCATAACAGTGGATCATAACCAAAGCACATTGCACAGCACAATGTACAGTAAAAACATAAACTGCACAATAGAAACATAAAAACATTTGCTTATAAACATGTTTCTCACCACACTGACTTCTGCAATAGCTTTTTGTATGCCCCTGTTTCAAAAAGTACAGTTTTTTTCCAGTTGGCAAAAAAATGGAAAAAGGAAACCTTCACAAATTTCTCAGATGATTCATGAATGCTTAACTCAATAGAAATGACACATTTCCAACACATGCAGCTTAAATGCAACAAGAGCAAGAAGGAACCCTTTTGGATCTCACTGAATCCCCGCTGACTGCCAATCTGATTTACTGAGTGGAAACAGAAGTTTTCAGTATTGTCCAGTTATTTGCTCTACACAGTCTGAGGAGGCAGGAACATTTTCTCCTTTGCGCTAAGACTAGTTAGTCTAGTTCTGGATCTGCATGCCCATTTCAATCCTTTCTCAAACCACATCCACTCATGTTGTTTCACATAATGCTACCCCTGCTTTTTTTTTGAGAGGGAGATATATATGGAAGTCTATATGTATATACTGTACATTGTTTCTCTGCAGCACCTGACTGCTATTTATTAAATCCAGAGAAAAGAAAAAGTGTGTGTACTTGTGGTGTTAATTCAGAAGCTTCCTAATCTACTTTGACATGGTCTTTTTCTAATCTGTGGCCAAAACCTTTTCTAACATGGTCCAGAGTTTCACCAAAGGAGTGGCAATAGACCACAGTGTGTTCTCTCTTCAGTCCTTTTCTCCCTCCACTCCCATGAACAAATGGATCTCACTGAAGCTTGCACCCCTGGCCAAATGGCATAAAAATTTAGTGAGAAAGCTGACAATTTAAAAAAAGGGATTCATTTGAAATGTGGTGCTGGAGGAGAGCTTTGTAGACAAACGAGCCCTAAATCAAATCAAGCATGAACTATCTCTGGAGGCAAAAGTGTTGAAGCTGAGGCTGTCCTACTTTGGGCAAATCATGAATAGACAGGATTCTCTGGCAAAGACAATAACGCTGGCGAAAGGCAGCACAAAGAGAGGAAGACTAAATAAAAGACGGATTGACTTCCCTAAAGGAAGCCTGAGTTTGCAGGAGGTGAACAGAGTTGCCGAGGAGAAGAGATCTTGGAAATCACTTATCCATGGGGTCACCATAAGTCAAGAGTGACTTGACAGAGCATAACAACAAAGGCCTGTAGCAATTACTGAAGAGGCTTCAGACATACTGTTGGAATAGCATCAGAGAGAGAAAAAACCAATAATAATTTGCAAGTACAATTTATTTAGAAAAGCTGGTCCATGGGATACATTATTCCTTCAGATATAAACAATACACTGGATTTTTGATTGGAAGAATTGGTGAAGCCTTGCCCTTGTGGTCCTGGAAGAACAAAATTATAATGGACAAAATTCTGTTGATTAACGTAATAAACTGCACTACAGCAGGCCCATTTATCAATGGAGGTTTGGTGAATAAACTCCTCTGTAAGTTCTATTGATCCAAATGGGCTCACAAACTGTCTTTAGCATACATAGGCCCATTTGAATCAGTGGAATTCAGAGAGGTTAACTCACTAAATCCTCACTGAGTCAGTGGGCCTACTCTAGTGCAATTTATTACACTAAGCAAGAGAATCTTGGTCATTAAAGTCTAAAGGAAGACAGGAGGGCCTGGCGCGCTCCAGTCCATGGGGTCACAAAGAGTTGGACATGACTGAACAACTAAACAACAACAACAAAAAGTCAAAAGGTATTTTTGAAGTGTTTTGGCAAACATACTGTAGAGAAACAAAAGCAAGTTAAATGTGAAGAATTTTCTGCAAGACCAACATATTCCTTCATTTCATTATCTACAATGAAGCATCTAACGATCTACATGTTGTGGCTGCTGATACACATAGTCTGGAAGGAATGAGAATGATGTTACTGCTAAAGTAGAGGCTAACATTTTCAGATTAGCAGAAATACTTGTTACTTATACTCACTGGTGCTTTCTTGTCAATTGGTTTTATGACAAATTTCTTATCATTGAAAGAGATATTTCTGATCTCACTCCAAGGGAAGCCAATCTTAGGGGTTAATCTGGAAATAAAAAATTGTATATGGTTAAAGAAAAGTTACTGAAGGCGTATTATATTTGTTTCAACAACAGCCACAAGTTATGGGGCAGAGTCGAAGTGCAATAAATAAACCAACTCTGAATTGAGCTTAGAAATAGATGCAGCCAGTGAAGATGGCAAAATACTGGGGAAATGTGATGATATTGGCCAGGTACCAATGAACACTCTAGAACTCCATTTTCAAGAAGCTTACATTTCCAGAGTGATTGCAAAGCAACCCCGCATAAAATACACTGTAATAATTTTAAAAAGGAGACTACCAGAGCATGAAGGGACGTGGTGGCGCTGCGGGTTAAACCGCAGAAGCCTCTGTGCTGTAAGGTCTATAGATCTGCAGCTGTAAGATCGAATCCACGTGACAGAGTAAGCACCCCTCGTTTGTCCCAGCTCCCACCAACCTAGCGGTTCGAAAGCATGCAAATGCGATAGATAAATAGGGACCATCTCGGTGGGAAGGCAACAGCGTTCCATGTCTAAGTCGCTCTGGCCATGTGACCATGGAAGATTATCTTTGGACAAATGCTGGGTCCTCTGAAGATGCCGGCCACAGAAACTGGCGAAACGTCAGGAAGAACAACCTTCAGAACACGGCCAAAGAGCCCGGAAAACCCACAACAACGCTGGCTCTATGGCTTGGAAACGGGGATGAGAACCGCCCCCTAAAGTCGAACACGACTGGACAAATTGTCAAGGGGAACCTTTACCTTTACCAGAGCATGAATAGCAGTTGCAACCCTGCCTCTGTCCAGGTGGGGTCATAGTTGGTACATCAACCTAAGCTGGTAAGAGGTGCTTCAAACTACTGTTACATCTGCCAAAAATGGACGTAAGGGCAGTTCCAAATTAGAAACCTGATTCTGTAGGCAAGAATGTGCCCTCCAGACAATGGACTGCAACCTTTATCAGTCTTAAGCCAGCATGATAAATAGTGAGGAATGCTGTGGGTTGCAGGCCAACAACATATAAAGGGCCATACTTTGGCCAAACGATTGATGGGACGTGCAAACTGCTCTGAAAAAGTGACTTCCACTTGGTCAGAAAAATTAACCACTGACAAACAGTGGCTGAAATCCTTTTGCTTAGAATAGAAAACCACAACTAGAGTAGGTGCACTGAATCAGTGGTGATTTAGTGAGTCAATTCCTCTGTAAGCTCCAGTTATTCAAATGGGTCTATTCTATTTGCAACTTATTATGCAAAGCAACAGCAGTTCAGATAGTAAGAGGTGCAAGAGAACCAACATTGTCACATTCCCCATCTCTCTCCTGGCACAGGGCAACAAAGGCAATTTCTGTTCCAACTCTAGCCTAAAACCAGACTGACATGGCACTAGAAAATCAGATTCATTCAAGAGAGCTTGATCAGCAGCCACTAACTTAAACACCTTGTCCTGGTAGAGGATGTTGGCAACTGGCCTACTTCTTCAGGAGCAGCCTGGAGATTGTCTCTTTTAAAGAAGCTGGTACTGCTTCCTCCCTCAAAGAGGAATTTAATACCTTCTGGTTTCCCACCAGATAGAGCAAGGCAGGATCAGCAAAGGCTAAGTTTGCAAATGGTTGGCCAAACACCTCAAAGTCCCTTGTCCACATCCTTGGATCTCAACAAACAAAACTGAACAAATACAAGGGGAGTACGGGGTTGCCTAGCTCTTTATCAGGCTGCTGAAATAAACTAAACTTTGAGAGAGAAAAAAAACCAGAACTTGACGTTTGTCTAGAAGGACATAATAATACCACTTCTCATATTAAATTTCTGGACTAAAATACACAACTATTATTTTTAATTACAGTGATGTAACTAACCAACAGGATTCTGACCTTTCTAACTAACCAGCAGGGTTAAAAATGTCGGCATGTTCACCAGTTTGTATCCTTAATTTGGAACTATAATCTTATCCACAAGGGGTCATCCAGTTTACTCTCTATTTTTGTAGCATGGAAAGTATAATTTCTTAAAATATTAATATGTTTACATTTTAATTTGTCACCATCATCCACCACCTTAAACCATTGGCATGAGATTATGTAGTCACCCCGAGTCCCCTTATTGGGAAAAAGGTGGCCTATAAATAAACCAAATAATAAATAAAATAAAAGCAGAATTTGTTTCCACTGTGAAAAGCAGATACAGTATACTATTATACTCAGTATCAGTAATAGGTACAGATTGCCGTATTATACTCTGCAGCCTTCCCTGTGCATCTCAACTCTAATTTATTTAGGTGAGCTGAGAGTTCTGATTGCATAAATAAAGGGGGTAGAAAAGAATCCAGTTAATTTCATATTAATGTTATTATGGACTATTAGATGTGTTGAATGTTTCATTTGTTGTGTGTACTACCATCCCCAGTTCTCTTTCACAGGTATATGTTCCTTTCTGCAGTCTTAAAAGAGCTTGTAAAACCTGTTTGCATTACTTTGGCTGCACAAAGAGGCCTGTCATTCAAGAAATTAGAAGCAGTTTCAACCATGTAATACCTAGAGGGACACTCCTTGTTTTTTTTTGGTGAGGGCACACAATAGCACAGCTGAATCAGAGTGCTATTCTGTGAGCTCAATACAATTATTAACCTAAAGTAACATAAACATCCCACCTATCCTTTTCCCAGCCCTTATAGACTGCTTATGCATCTCCTGTTTGTAGGGTTATAAAGATTGCAGCTTTATTTGGACACAAATTATGAAGCAGTTAGTACCGACCAATGATTTGTTGCATTTCAAGCATGCTCCTTATTTCAGATTCCTCTAAACTATTATCCTGCAATTCCTAAGATCCTGATTGTGCACTTTCTCTGTACTCTTAGCAAACAGACATATGAACAGGAACAGGTTTTTTTAAAAAATATTCTGTTCTCATAACATTTTTCTCCTCTCATTGCCTGGTTACCAGTCTGCTCTTTCTTCAATGTAATTAGAAATCCCATAGCTACCTACTGCAAGAGATTGATTGGAAATCACAGTATGCTAGAAGTCTCAACCTAATTAGCTTCCAGATGAACCCCAACATGGCAAGTTAAGTATCAGTGCACACAAATGGTTCATAGCATGGAGAGAGCCACTGGGCAAAATAGAGCACTGCCTCCAATAGTTCAGCATATTGTATACACCCAATCTAATAGCTCTCCTGCATCGGATAACCAGTTTGACAAACAGAATAGAAGTATTACGGCAACTGGCTTTCCAGGTCTTCCAGAGGAACTGTATATAAACTCCCTGTTCCACATAATGTTTTGGCTCAAACACCATACATGACTAGTATCCTCTTTGCCTATGTAACAACAGCCAGGGTTATAAGTGATTAATCTTACTCATATATGGTTTTGTGGCACTGAAAATAACTGAAAAAAGATGGACTCTGCTGTTCATTCCAGCCCCTATAACCCACATCTGATATATGGTTTGCTGTTCCAACCATATAAGGATTCTTGCATATGACCCCTGCCTGCCCTTCTGGAGTAACAAGCTGGTACATGTACTTACAGAGAAAACAGGTCACATGGAAATAAACAAAGGCAAGTCACTTTCTGCCCACGTGCATCCCAGTGCAACTGCATTCAGCAAGTATTTTGAAAGGCAAGGTGACTTGCATTGATAAAACTACCAGAAAAATAGAGATAATGAGAAAATTCTTTGACATGAGCACTAAGGCTTCAGCTTCACACAGGTGCAATGAAACTTCAACTTACTTGTCATCCTTCTCATAAATATTCAGGCCAAGTGCATCCACGCCCAACCAAAGATCTGTCCCTTTCTTGTTCTTGATTTCAAAGTAATTGATCCCATACATTTCCAGGTCTTGGGCAATCTTCAGGTATTCCAGCATGGCACTCTCTCTGGTTGTTAACAGTTATGTGATACACAAAAAAATGTTAGCAAAAATTTCTAGTACTGACACACAATTTTATGCGGGCAAAAGACTCTTTGTAATATCTGAAGGGCCAGTTTATTCCCCAAAAAGTAACTTTTCAAAGCTTGCTACAGAATAGGCATCACCTTATCAATTTTTTTGTGAAATTTCTGGTTTTGCTAATCCTCAGTCTAGTATCATTCTCCCCAATACTTTCAATATAATTTTGATAGCTGATCAGTCATATTGTGCTTCACAGGAAGCAAAGTACTAGAAAGTCTATGTTTATTAGCTGCCCATTCTGTAGACTTAATAAGAAAAGAATACTGCTTAGAACAAATTATATTTAAGAACCTATTGAAGTTACTGATAACTGCTTAGCTCCTCTCGAAATGCAGGAAGTGGAGTAATAGTGTCAAATGCTGTGGCCCTGGAGATGCTTAACTTTTAAAATATTGTACTAAAACATTTAAGGGTGAAGAAAAACATAACTCACTTAAGCATTCCACCATGTTCAGCATGCCATACTTGAATTCGTTCTTCCCACTGTTCTCTTGATAGTTTATGTTGGTCCATTACACTAACATAGAAAGAGAAGATATATTATGAAATTGATAGCTTTTCAGAAGGTTCACTGAAATATTTTAGCTTACAAAGTTGCCCCCCCCTAAAAAAATCCATGGGTGGTCATACCTTATTAGGCTAACAAAAAGGAAACAAAACTCTGTGTGTGAACTTTTTGGAATTTTTTTAAAAGGTGTAATCAGCTATATATACAACATAAAATTGATTCAGTCTAGTGCAAGGCTCAAAAGCCCCTCAAAGGAGTTTTAAAGGTTTTATAGAAAAACAATAGTAATCTTTTACTAGCAAAGCCTGAAACAAGGGAAAGCATGCCTACAAAGTTTACAACAGAGAAAGAAAGTTGTCCATTACATTTCTATCATTCTTTCCATGAAGAAAAGTGCATGTATAAACTAAACATGGTATCAAACATCACAAGGTTGTTCTATATATGCACGGTCCCACAGGCTTTGTGTCAATTAGGATCTAGCTCCTCAGGCTACAGATATATTTCTTTATATATTTTATACAATTATATATTTAGATGTATACCTATACTGAGGTATATATAGAAATTTTTTGAGGATAACTTATAGGTAAGAGTGAAGAGAAGGTCTCTCTTGTAGTAGAGTAATATACCAGGTTCCTTTATTATTTCTTTTCTTATTCTTTTCATTATTCTTATTTTTTATGTTTTAATTGTCACCCATTCTTAGCAAATGGCATATGGTCCAATTATGAGAGAGGAATGAGGACTCCTAAAAGACAAAGCCCACCAAAATTTTTTTTTTAAAAAAATAGTACTACTGCTAGTTTCAAGACCTCATAGTTTCAGGTAAAAGCCATCAAAACCAAATGTGAAGTTTTCCAAACTGATGAAGCCATTAAACTTCATAGTTTCTTATACACAGCTCATGATCTTTGAGAAGCAGAAACTAAAACTTGGTCATCCTAGAAGAGAGGGGTGATATAGATTATCAGCATTTAAACTGTCTTAGAAGATACTTCTAAATATCTTGTAAAAAACCTAAAGCTCAATGTTAATTGCGCTACTCTCTTTATTTTCTGGTTAATACTTTAACAAGTGGGTCTCCATCAGTGAAAAAGTGCCCAGAATAGTTACTTACAGGTTCATATCTTAGGTTCTGCCAAATCACACTGAAAGAACTATAGTGCACTTATTGCTTCTCTGTTTCAGGTATTTTCGCTAAAAAATTCCATACACTGTTCAATAAAACATCTCCTCCCACACCCATGTTGGCTGTGATAAGTCACTGTTTACTAAGTAACTGGTCTTCTGTAGTGAGGAAGTTATAAACCCTACTTTACATTTTTGGACATCCAGTTTTAAAGATAAATTCTAGAAGCCTGCTTTCTCTAGCCATTCATTCAAGAGAACTTCTCACCGCTGGGGAATTAGTCGTTCAGAACTGAGGTATCCGGATTTGTGTATTTCTTTATTGTAGTCTCCATATTTGGCTTGCACAGCATATGATCCAAGGAGGACTGCAGTTTCAGGCGGACAGTAGATCTCATCGCTAAGGATACCCTCCTTCACCTGCAGGAAGAATAGCTTCTGTGTGATTTCCTGGATCAGCTCCTCAGATACATCCTCAGGGAAAAACTTGGCACGGAATTTGAACTGCATTGGGTTTTCTTTCCTGACCTCTTGAGCAGAGACCTAAAATGGGATTAGGGGAGGGAAAGGAAAAAGGAATGGTGATGAAAAAGATGAGCAAACTGCTAGATAGAATGAAATAGAGTTTATCAACAAGTTATTTTCTATTTTACAGATCATACAGATTCAGTCCAGACTCTGATCACTGATACGTTCCTATTTTATCCTGTTTCTCCGAAAATAAGACCTAACCTGAAAATAAGCCCTAGTATGATTTTTCAAAATACTTGTAATATAAGCCTATTCCCAAAAATAAGCCCCAGTTAAGTGAAACCCTGCCCTACGCCATTGTGCAGCAGCCAGAAGAAGATAACATGACTGTATTTGAATAAATGTAGATGGTTATACATGAAAAAAAAACACCTGCAGAAGAAGATAACATGACTGTATGTAGATGGTTATATATGGAAAAAAACCACCTAATGTGTTTTTGAAGCAGAAATTAATATAAGATCCTGTCTTATTTTCGGGGAAACATGGTACAATTTTACATTGTGGATTTCCCCATTCGTTTCTACATGACAGTCACTGAAAAACTGCATTCAGGGTTCCAACCCTGCTTATGTCACTTTCCCTTTTCCTTCTCACTTGTCCTTTGCAATTTTAAACGTTTCTTCGTCCAGCCCAGATATTCTATGCAGTTCATAGCGAATAACTTGTAAAGAGGAGAGGGGAAAAACCGTATTCTTGCAAATAAAACGTTCTCCGAAGGAAAATATTTTTTGGGGGGGGGAAGTAATTGTACTTCCACATATGTTCAACTGTTAAGAAAGCAGTTACAGTGAAATGCTTTTCTCTAAGTTTTCATTATAGCATCAGCTTTAATGGCTGCTAAAAGTTGGGTGAGAGATTGCTATAGATAAGGACACAAACAGTGGCTTATTCTATTTTTTAAAAACCCAATACCATTTGAACAAGTATGTCTAGACTAGCCTCTACACTATAATTCATCCATGAGAACAACTCATTCTAGGAAGCTTGGCAACTAGACCTGCAAAGCCTTTGGAGATTAAGCAGTGTATACTAAGAGGTTTCACTAATTGAAATAAACACAATAACCAGCTATCTGGGGTTGGCAAGCACATGCTGGGACTAGACTATGTACAAACAGTTCAGGTTGTCAGTTTCATGCATAGAAATTAAGCCAGTATTCAAGTTGTGTCAAGCTACATTAGTCACTAGAAGGCTAAAAAACCTTTAATTGTATATTTCTTCTTTGAAATAAAGTCCCAATACTGTTTTACCTCTGAAAGTCACAGCAGAAATTGCTAAGCACATTAGATTGAGCGCCTGGTTTAGCTGCCTCTCTAGTGTCTGCCAGCCACAATTCAAGGCTGATATCAACATACAAAACTTTACAGCTGCCTTGCCCTACATGTTTCATTGCAGACTAATGGCTAAGTGCAGCTTCTTAACCACGTTATCTGTTGTTTTGCCTTGCTTACAGGGACATGCAGAAATGTAGGTGAAGTGGCTGAAGCACTATTTATTTATTTATTAAATTTATACCTCGCCCATTTAGACCCAAGTTTACTCTGAGTGGCTAACAATAAAAAATGGCACAAAACTGATATAATAAAATAGAAAACAGCAATAGTAATATCGTTCAAGATGTGGAAAAGATAAAAAGAATCAAGTGATGACAGGAGGGAAAGCCTGCCTAAAGAGCCAGGTCTTAAGGTGGCTCTTAAAAACACCCAGCGAGGGAGCCAGACAGCTCTCTGAAGAGAGACTGTTCCAAAGGCGAGGGGCCACTGCCAAGAAGGCCTGGTTTCTTCTTCTTTCTCTCCGGGTTTCCCTTGGCGGGGCCCCTCAGCTGCCCTTCCTGGCTAGAATGAGTAATTATTGTGTTTCCATCTCTTCTTGACAATGCCCAAATCTGAACATTATTGCAAGGAATTGTACAACTTGGTTTTGGAAAGTAAGCAGGAGGTGGTTGGGAGGAGCTTTTGGTACATGTCCCATTTTTACTGGATTCAACTGATCAGTATTGAAAAATACATTTTTCCTTTCAAATTAATGTTTCCTATATCGTACATTTAGAATAGGTATGATTACAAATGGTACAATAAATAGACCATGCACACATCCTGGTTTAAGTCTCTTGTCTACTGAAATTAACTAACATTTATTTTACCTTTTTGTCAAGTTTCAGCCAGGTTGGGAATCCTTTATTATCCACATACTGAAGACCAAAGTACCAGACTTCACGTAACCCTATAGTCTTCACCACCTTAAAAAAATGAGAGAAGAGTTCATTGACATAACAGGTCAAATTCTTACAACAATTGGTAAGATGCAGCTGACTTTCCAAACCCTTGTTTACCAAGATAAACCAATTGCCACTTAAAAAGATGCAGGTTTCAAAGTTCAATTTGGTAGAACTATTCCAGGCATTGTGTTCCCCTTCAAATGGGGATGGGGAAATAAGGATAAAGGGAGAAAATTGTAAGCACCAAGTGACAAAAGGAACCGCTGGTCTGAAGAACTGAGCAAAGGACATTTGGATCAAGTGTCGTAACAGATGAGAAAAATTACTGAGCAAGCTGAGATTAAAGATAATTAATCATAGTTGATTTTGCATTTTAAAAACAATTTTCTATAGTACAACTGTTGCTCCAGGCTCTCACTGAAAACTCTAGTAGCAGCCTTTTTCATGCATGTACACAAAACAACCAGCAGGGAACTTGAGTTTTGGCATTGTTTTCCTTTTAAAAATAATCATAGGTTTCAGTTTGTTGGCATCAGCTGTGCACGCCAGTACCACTGTAAAACTTGACTTCTCATGTCCTGTTGTTTTTATCAAAATAGTTTTTTCACCTTTTTGATGGATAGTTTTATTTCCAATCATATCAAAATTCATTGGAGTTTCATCCATATTTCCAATATCACTTAACACATAGCCATGTTTAGTGCGCTGTTGTATTACGTATCGATGGAAACTATCCACTTTGTTAACCAGATCTGCAGATAATTTTGGGGCAATTTTTGTCTTTTGCCTTAGTACCAGATTATGCCTTGCCATGAATCTAATACACCAGGATATAGTGGCCTTAAAATTGTTGCTGTATTCTGAGTTAGATTTGGCTCACTGAAGTGCAAACAAGCGTATTGTATTTCGTGTCACCACATAACCATTTTGGCGATGCTGATCCACCATGTCTGCTACATGTTTTTCGAGTTCTGGCCAGTGTGGGGTGCCTCTTCTTAACACACACTTACCCCTTGGCATACTCTGTAATGCTTTTTCATTTGATTTCCAGTCCTGAACCATCTTTTTTGTTACTCATATTGTCTTGCAGCAGCACAATTATTATGTTCCATGGCAAAGTTTACAACTTTAAGTTTAAAACTTGCATCATATTTCTTTCTTTTTGCTGGTACCATGATAGGGGATTGACTGCTGGACATTTTCTTTTTTCCTTTTTTCAATTCTTTTGGCGTTTGCCCTGTGCCCTGTGTCTCCTTTCTTCAATCTGCCTGTTTGTTTGCGAGCTAAGGTGTCAGGAGTCGTGAGGTGTCTGTTTCAAAATGTCTGAAACACTTTGAAGTGCTGCCTCCATTTGTTGCCTGGAGGACTCTGCTGCTAGGGTGACTCTCTTTCCCTCCAGAAGACCAACAAGACAAACCAGAGAGACGAGATGAGCCGAGGTGGGGAGATACTTTCGAAAACCGGCTCCGCGTATTGTGCCTGCAGGGAGTTGGGAATATTTGTGGAGCTCTGCCTGGGCTTTGACTCGGGGGAGCTCCCTCCTAGACTCTGTAAATGATGCTGGGACCCGCCGCCTGTCAGGGGCGCGCAGATATACCCGCTCTGGGCTGTTGGTGTTGAAGTGCACCTGGCGTACAAGACGACCCCCCTCCACTTGGAGGCATGTTTTTCAGGGCCAAAAAGTCATCTTG